AGTCTAATAAGATACTTATGATAAGATTTTATTTAAACATCCCCGTAACCCTAATTGTATGAGGTAAAAGCTTTTATTAGATGCCCCGACTTTCTCTTATTTTTACTTGTTCCGGTTCCTTCGTGGAATCATGAGGAGCTAACTAGGGGGTGATTTGAAGCTAGTGGAGAGAACGTGGACCGTCTTAGATGGGGCTAGGGCGGAGAATGAATTCTCTAGTTCTCTATGCTTAACTTAGGTTTGTCTCTTTCAACCATGAGCATCTTAGAACGTGTTTTCCCTCATTGTATTGAGAAAGGTGAGTATTCTTTGGTGCATGTCTCTTCTTTTTGAGTCCAAATGGAGTATTTTCCGCCTTTGAACTTGATTGGTTTTCCTAAACCTTGCTATGTTATGTTGGTCATGGTTGTGTTTGTTTTTTTGTGTTTGCGTTTCTTTTTTTTGTTTTGCCTTGGTTTTTGTCTAGAGTTGTGGGTTAAGCCCTTAGAAAACCCCCACGAGAGCACACTCGTCCTCTGGGGCGATCTAGGGGTTTAAAGGGCTTGTCTTTAGTTGCTAAAATTGACCGTGATTCCTACGAAAGTGCGTTAGTGTATATTCTTTCTCTTTTTAGTTTTTCTTGCTTGAATAAATCATTCTCCCTTTCTCTCGTGTTTCGTGCTAATTTGCTCGAAGACGAGCAAAAGTTTAGCTTGGGGGAGTTTGATAAGTGACTTTTATGTCACTTTTAGGGTACTTTTATGCTTATTTTCCGGTTTAGTTTCTAATAATTTCCCTAGTTTTACGCTTCTCTCTTTTTCTTTTTTTCCTTATTTGATCTTTATTTTATGTATTTCAATAGTTTTTAGCTTATTTTCTTAATTTATTTAAATTCTCTTATTTTCTATGTTTATATTTTAAGTTTTTAGTTCTTGTTATATAATAGTAAAACAAAATATGATGAGTGACATTTATGTCACTCTTAGGAAGTAGTTGATGAGTGACATTTATGTCACGCTTAGGGTAGTGTTTATGCTTTGTTTTAGCTTGTCTTGAGGTGTTTTGTAGTTTTTTTGTTCAAATAATGCGTTCATACATGTCTCGATGTGTTTTGGATGAAATCGCGTATATGCTTAAATGCTTCCCTTTATTGCGTGTTTTCACCGTTGCCTTTACCTTATTGCTTCCCTTGGTGCTTGTGCTTAGGTATTTGAAGTCTTGGATTGCAAAGAAGAGGACAAGTAAGCACGAGAGTAGAATCAAAGAAGCAAGGTGCGAGGGAGCGCAAAATGTGCGCGAGAGTGCGGCCGTAGTGTGCGGGCGCACAACCCTGTCAGAACCCGCGCAGAAGGATGTAAATTTCAGAATCAAGGCAGAGAGATTTGCGCGGGCGCACACCCAAGGCGCGCGGGCGCACAACTCAGCCAGCAAGCCCCAACCCACAAAGGCGCGGGCGCACACCTACCGTACGCGGGCTCACAGCGAGCCCTGTCAGCGTTTTTGCGCGTATCTATTTATAATCGAGGCTTGTTTTTGTAGAGGAGGACTGGATATTATTAGATCTTTTTCTCTAGTTTTAGGAGAGTTTCTCTCTCTTATTCTCTTGATTTGATTGTAACTAATAGGATGCATGAGAATGATCCTTATTAGTGTAGACTTCTTTCATTGATTTGCCTTGACTATTGCATGAGAATGAATTGTTTAGGTAAAATCTTGTGTTCTTTGGCATGTGTTTCATGATAATCATTATATTCATCTCTTTCTAATCATATTTGACACCCCCGTATCCCTAGCGTCTTTTTCCGATGATTTAAATCATCATTTTCTTGCTTATTTGTAGTTTTAGTGTTCTTACTCAACAAAACAAAAAAAAAACAATCCCCTTTTTACTCTCGCATTAGTGATTATTGATGTTGAATTAGTGTGCTTCCCTAGTGGTTCGACCCTTTACTTGCCACTAACTAGTTTGGTGTAAGTTTAGGTATTATAAATGATTAATTTGATTAGGGTAGTAGCTTAACGACCTATCTAACCCTTGATCAAAGTCTTTGTGATATTTATGAAGTTACGAAAAAGAAACAAAAAATTAAATGAATTAGTCCACTTTATTTTAAGGCCAAATATTTGTAAAACTTCAGCTCCTCAAATAGGACATAGATTACTATTGATTATAATTTAGAAAGAAAGAAAAAAAAAAAAAAAAAAAAGTGGGAATTAAATTATTCTAATTGTGGATTTATGCCTATGTATAAATGGGTAGTTGTCATATGAACATGTGCCAGGAAAGAGCACCAGACAGGAGATGTTGAGCCAACTAGGCCAATCTGTAGAATTGTTGCTAGAATTTCATGACCTGAGAATGGAGGGCACTAGGGCAGCACCCTGTTACAATAGTGAAGTAGCTGGGGTTGTTGTAGGCGGAGGGGTGTGTTACAAAAATCACTTGCTGTGGTTCAGTCATAGGCTGGTTGATACAATTAAAGCCACTTAATACAGTCAAGATTAAGATAATAAGCCTTAGGCCCTTAGATTTACTACATGCTTGTACTTTGTCAACTATGTGACAGTTATACATAAATGCATAAAATATACTAATCTAGACCATGTTGCCCAGAGGTTTGATTTCTGAAGCCACTCTTCCAAATTTGTTTCTTCAAAATTTGTTTCTTTTTCTGTAGCAGCTGGTGAAGATTTTGGGCATGGTGTCCTTAATTTTTAATTGATTTGATATCAAGAGCTATAAAAAGGCTAGTTTCATTAGAGTTCTATTTTCATGATCTGCTAGTATAGATGCTTCTTAAACTAAAGTCTGTACATATAAATAATACTTAGAATCCCACTTTAGTTTGCTAGTTAATTTTTTGTCTGTACAAAGCTTAGATGATACATGAGAGGCATATGCTTTTTTAGGGGTATCCTGATGTTGGTTGCTAGATTTCTTCAAACTATGTCAATGATAATTAAGTTTTTCTTCTTGAATAAATTTGCTGGTAAATTAAGCTGACGAAATGAAATCAGATAACTAATTGGTTCTAAGACTCTAACTTTACTCACACTACAAATTTGTTTCACCAAAATTAACCTGGCTCAAATTTAAGTCACTCAACATATCAACACCTTTTTTTCTTACAATAAGAAAAAGGGTTTCTTTGATAAACGATGGCCAAAAGGCTTAAAAACAATTCCGAAAAAATCTAAAATTCCAATATAAGTACATATCACCGTAGAATTAATTACATCGCATATTCAATCAACGATTATTTTAATAAAAAGTCATCCGAAACAATACACTTTGTGAGTTAACACGAATTTGGCTTGAAATCCACTTAAGCATAGTTGTTTGAGTGAAAATACTCGTATGTTCTTTTAGATACTTCCAAAGATTATGAAACCCTATATCTTCAATAACAAACAAAGAAATGAAACCTAATAGAATAATCACCATCCTAAAGATGGGATCTATTCATTGTAAAAAAAATTTGAGGCTTACCATCGGTAAAAATACAGTGGAAGTTTCTACAAAGATTCACAATTGAGACCAGAAAGAAAAGAGATAGAAGAGTAGAGAAAGGAAGAAGAGTGAAGGAAAACCTTAAAAAAAACAGAAAAAATTTAGAGGCTAGAAAAACCCTCCCAAGGGAGAAACCGTAACACTGGTATTATTAACTTGGGGGTGTTATTTGGCTTGCATAGTATTTGAACTCGTTAGGACTAACTTTTATAATATGAAATTAGAGGGTATGATTAATTAGGATTAATGGAGTTCATTTACTGCTTATAAGGGAAAAGGGTCGAAAAAGTTCACTGGTGCTAATATGGCCTAGTCTTGTGTTTCATGTTGTGCATTTTGCTATCTTGCTCATTTCCTTTTAGCAGTGTCCTGACAAATAAGAAAATATAAAGTTTTTTTTATTTATGCCATTGGTTTTTGATGAATGAATGTATTCCGTTTTCGGTATGGTACTGATTGTCATGTGAAAATATACACATGAAAGGATGCGTATGATTGTAAATTATTTCATGTATTCTATGTTATGCCTGATGACATCTTTATAAACTTACCGGAACATTATTGACCACTTATCATATGTTCTATTTTTATTATTGAATATCTTGGCATGAATCAATATTTGAATTACAAATTTGCTTGTCAAGGTGTTGGCTGTTAGTTTGAAATGTCTTCTGCAGTCATTGAGTCAGGATAATTGTCATATTTTGCTTCACTTGAGAGTATCATAAGAATAGAAGCGCATCATCATCACTGAATCAGTATGCAGTACAAACCGCTCCACTCACTATAGTAGCAGCAGCTCTGATATTAAACTAGCGTCTTACAGTTATATTCTAAAATTTGTCTGACTACATAATAAGTTCAGTCAGTTTCATAAATGGCATCATTTTTTTTGACAAAAGTATTTCTGAAGTTCTGAAAAATAGACTCTATTTTGTTCTGCTTAATGTCCAGTTATGGAGCTGATCTAATTAGTTGGTGGGTAAACTCTGCAATTTCTACCAGACTACCACTATTGCTATGTCAGAAATTTTTTAAGAATTAGTCACTTTAGACTGTCTCATTAAATTGTTGCATTCTATCTTATCTGGCAGACTCATAAGAAAACTAAGGGGTTGTTCGGAGTTCCATGCATTCACGATGATACTCTTGCGGAAATATACACAAAAGACAAAGCTATGTTGCTCTACAAAAAAAGAAAGGAAAACTGTTTCTTTCCAAGATATCTATACCAACAAGAGGAAACCAATTGGTTGTAATCGTTTACGTTTCCTTAGTGATACCAAACAGCTATTAAGGGTAACAATATATATTAACCTTTTCCCTCTAATTTGTTTCCAATCCGTTACCTTTATCAATTTGATACCAAACAACCTCTAAGTCTATATAATTATATATTTATAACCAAATCAACACACAATTTAAAATACTACGTAAAAAGATAAGCGAGTAATCTTGTTGTGCATTAAAATAAAAAAATAAAAAAATAAAGCTTAATGTGTAACCTTACCTGGAAAGTGGACTTCCATACGTGACAATCTCCATCTATAATTTCTGATGCCGTCACGTCAAGTACTGTGCCATAGTTTAATCCAAATGCAGAAATAGATTGGACACGGTTGAAGATTGCCACAACACTTGTAACTCTCTTGCCTTTCATGACAAAGTTTTGTCACAAAATTCATATACGAAGCAGCAAACATCCCAAAATTTGCAACATCCATAACTAATAAAATGGAATCCCGTTGCTAGTAACAGCTCTCACAAGGATATTCCATGTAACAACAGAAGGAATCACTCCACTACTAATGGCATGAAGTAAAAATCCCATGCAATCGGATATTCTGTGGCTAGAGCAAAGTCCATGCAAGATAATATTGTATGATATAATATCTGGATGAAGTCCTGTTTTTAGAATGCATGCCCAGATTGCAGCTGCCATATCACAGTCGCCAATTTTATAAAATCCTTCCATAAGCGTATTGTAGGTAGTTAGATTTGGCATGCAGTCCAAGCATCTCATATTTGTGAATAATTGCACAGCATTGTCTAGTCTTCCAACAGAACAAAGTCCGTTTATAATAATATTATGCATGATCACATCAGGCGTAAGACCTTCTCCTAGAATCTGACCCCACAACTGAAGAGCCTTGCTAATCTTTCCACTTTGACAAAGACCATCTATCAACAAACTGTAGGAAACTACATCTAGCTCAAAACCTTTCTCCAGCATCTCCTTTACATGTATATATGCATCTTCAAATCTTTCTGATTTGCAGAAACCATTTAACAAGATATTATATGTAACAGGAGTTGGCAGGCAACCCATACTGACCATTTCCTTGAATATTGTTATGGCTTTCTCCATTTTGGATTCTCGAACGTACCCATTTATTACAGCATTGAAAGTATAGGAAGTTAAAGTGTGTCCATGTCTAGCTATTTCACCTAGCAGACCCACTGCTTCACTAAGTCTACCATTGTTACACAGTGCATTAATCAATGGTGTATAGGCATAAATATCCAATCTACCTCCATCCTCTGCACTTTTCAAAATTGATTGTGCCTTGTTTACATGTCCATTTCTACACAACCCATGAATCAAGACTCCATAAGTTGTTGAATCACTATTACAATGGCTCTCCGACATCAATTCCCAGGTAGACAGTGCTTCACCCACCTTACCATTTTCAAGTAAGCCCCTAATGAAAATATTGAAACTAGTGGTACTAACAAGATCTTCTTTCGTCATAAACTCCCATAAGTTGAAAATTTGTTCAGTCATCCCAGCTTTGCAGTACCCATGAAGCATGACATTGCACAAAATAGTATCAGGTTGAAGCCCACTCTCAATCATTGCAGCATACACCATTGAAGCCTCAGAAACATTTCCAGACTTGCATAGTCCACCTATCAAACTACTGTAAGTAAACACATCTAACTTTCTCTCATTCACCTTCATCCGGCGCCAAAACTCTAAACTCTCACTTACACAGCCACATTTGCTTAGACCGTTGATCATAACATTATAGGTCACCACACTTGGATAAACCTCAGAATCAGTAATCAACCTCTGAAAAATTTCTTTAGCATCATCAACAAGGCCAGATTTCATATATCCATCAATCAAAGTATTATAACAAGTAACATCAGGGGTAAGACCTCTGTCAGACATTTCATCGAACACCTTCAAGGCATCCGATAAATTACCACATTTCACAAGCCCACTGATCAAAGTCCCATAACTATAGCCATCAGGTCGTACTCCATGACTCCACATCCAGTCCAAAAGCTTCTTGGCTTGATCAAACTGTCGTTTTCGACACGAAATCTTAATCAAAATATTATACGTTTCAAGATTAGGCATTATTTCCGATTCCTGAAAATAATTATAGAAAGATTCAGCCTTATCCCACTGATTAGATAACGCGTAGCAATTCAACATTGTATTATACGATCTAACACCTGGTTGACACCCAAAAATTTGAGGCATCTCTTTAAAACAACTTAATGCTTGTTCAACCATGGAATTCTTAGCATAAACCTTTATAACAGTAAGAGCAATATCTTCAGAGCAGCTACATTTTTGGGTTTGGATTAAATCTACAATACGAGTGACGTGATTAACGAGTTTAGTATCGGTTAATCGGCGAAGAATGTGATGGTATATGATGGGAGTGTGGGTGTAATTTGGATGGTGGGTAGCTGAGTCGAAGAGAGAAAGAGCAGTCTTGGTGTTTTTCTGGGATTTGAGAAGTTTAAGTAAGCTTTTGGCAGAGAGATGGGCAGGCAGTTCAGCCATTGTTAAAGGGATGATTTTATGATGAGCCTGTTTTAGAGAGACATTCGAAATTATGTGTTACGTCAGAATATAAGAACAAGGATGCTAATAGAGTAACAGATTCAAGTGTGCGAAAATATGAGAAAATCTATCAATCTAATATATCATATCATATAATAACTAATATACTACCTATAAAGCTAAACTTTTAGTCAGGTGACAAGACAGCGACACTTGGTGTTCCAACTTTTTGTCAAGTCAAGTGTCGCGCCACGTACGATAGACTTAATTAGACTTTACAAAATAAAAAAGTTAGTTTAGAATTCTATTTAAATAGAATTTCAGGATAAGTTGTTAGTTTAGAATTTTATTTTCGATAAAATACCAATATTTCAGATGTACAAATTGAATTATAATTTTATTCAAAAAAATTATTAGATTACAATTTTAATATAGTTCAAAGCTTAAAACATCCATTTATAATGAATACTAATCGGCTAAAATAATGATGGGTCGGGTCACGAGTCATCTTGAATTGGATCACTTCAAGTTATGAGTCAATAAATGTTCAACTCTTGCCCAAAATTTTAGGTTCGGATCAACCCAACGGGCTTTGAACATTTATTTCATTTATTTTTTTTTTTTGCTATTTTTTCTAGTGTATTAAATCGAACATTTCCGCCAACATTATTATTAGTCATTACATGCCTATTAGATAGAAAATCGTCACAAAAGCACATTAATTCCTAACTAATTTGTATCAATGATATATTTTAAAATATGATATATAGATTAAAAAATTATCTTACAATTCAATAAACAACCCGGGCATCACATGAGGAATATATATATATTTGTGTGTGTGTGTGTGTGTGTGTGTGTTTGTGTGTGTGTGTGTGTGTGTGTGTGTATGTATGTGTATATATGTATATGTATATGTATACGCGTCATGTAGGATTATAAATTTTAGTGGTATCCAATTAAATACGAGGATATTAAAATTTTTTATAATTAAATAATTTAAATGACACGTGTTTTGGGTGTTTTGTCCCTCGAGAGAGTTACGACTCGAAGACTGGTCCGGCTGGACTTGTACCTGCAAAAACAGCGGAGACTCCTGGTGGTAGGAGCTCCGCCTCCGAAAATCAAGTAAGAACTTGAATGAAAGGAAAAGTGCGGAAATTTAGGTGGGATCTTCTCAAATTCTGAGATCAGGTGTTCTGATGAGAGAGAAAATGGATGTAATAAATGATTGAATGTGTCCCAAAATGGGAAAATATCTCCCTAATTATAGGGTCACTCTGGAAAAGTGCCCCTCCCTAGGTCACTCTGACCTAGGTTTTGTGGGCTGCGCCGCAATTGCGGCTTTCTCGGGAATTGGGCCTTGAAGGCCGCAATTCTTCTAATTAATATGTGGCTGCCACGTGTCAACTAGTGAGTGATCTATGGTGACCTGTGCAATCTTGACACGTGGACCTCTTTGATTGGTCTACATGTCTAGGGTATTTTTACCGTAAACATTTGCCCCTCACAGAGGTGACGTGGCGGGCCACGTGACGCCTGTGACACGCGTCCCCCTGTGAGTGTTGAACAGTAACAACGACTATTAACCTTCTGGGGTGTGACGGGGATGCCCCGTTTTACCCCTTTATAAATAGGGTTTTACCCCCCCCCCCCCCCTTCTCTCCCCTTATTTACAATCTTTGAGAAGTTTTCTAGAGAGAGAAAATGAGATTCTAGTGAGAGATACTCTGATCCCGCTTGCACTAGATCTTTCAAGATTTCCGCGTGCTTACTTACAACACCCGGTCACCGTCTGTTGCAGTTTTCAGAAAGTTCAGATCCAAAGTAAGGTAACCGCATGTACCCTCTTTCAGCTTTTTTCTTCTTTTTCATCTGTTTACATTCTTGTTCCGTCAATATACATATTCTTTAAAATTAAAAATGGACTCTCAATCCACACACTCGGCACTGCTTAGGATATTCAGCCGGTCTCCCGATACGGCTGAATCTAGAACAGGGAATGCCTTTTCTGGACTGTCGGAACTGTTATGCTCATCCCTGAATTCCTCCCTCTTTGTGTCTGTGCAGGACACAATGGCAAGAGTTAAACAAACGACTATTAAGCCGAGAAGCCGGCGTGCTAGGGAAGTGCCCATAGATGAGGTTGTTCCGTATGGAGATCAGGAGGAGTCGGAGGGGCAAAGTGGTTCCGATGATGGGGCTCCCTCTTCCCCAAGTAGTTTAAGTGTAAGGGAGGTAGGCGGTGAAGAGGCCGCCTCCTCTCAGGGGTCAGGAGAGGAAGCAGGCGGTGAAAAAGCCGCCAAAAGATCTGGAGCAGAGGCTTCTGGCTCCGATTAAGACAATTTTGCGGCTAATTACCAACAGCCGGCTAAAGCTTCAACTTTCCCTAGCCCCAAAAAGACTAGGATGCTATCGGGTGACATTGCCCTGTTACAAAGCGGCTTTGAGTCTTTCAAGGAGAAGCACCCTTTTAGAAAGGGGTGGGTAATAGAGGTCCCGCCTGAGGATATTGTAATGGCTTGGGACGATGGGATTGAAAATGCTGACAATTACTTCATCTGCTACGAGGCGGTAATTGCAGTCGGCCTCCGTTTCCTCTTCATAGAGGGATTAGAAAAATTCTTAAGGGGTACGACGTAGGCGTCTAGCAGCTCACCCCAAACTCGTGAGTCAATATTCTGAGCTACATCGCCGCCTGCGAGTTTCAGGATTTGGAGCCCAGCTTTGCCACCTATGCTCAAATGCATTACATGAGCAAAGCCCTAGTCGGCCATGGGGCGTGGTATACTCTTACCACACTTCCCCAATATTTCATGTCTTTGGACAAAGTGCCTCAATGGACCGGCTGGAAGGAGAAATTTTATTTGATGTCCTCTCCAAGGCTGAGTCACAACCGGACCCTACGCCGATACAATAGAGAACCGGCTCTTCTAGGCAGGAAGTGTACCCTCCCCCGCATCTCTTCCAAATCTTACGAGCAAATAATGGAGCCGGGATTATTTGAGACCACGACTGAGCCCTTAGGGAATGGGACTCACATAGTCATGCCAAAGAACTGGATCCCCCATCAAGATTTTTTCAAGGATGAGAGATTCCTGTCCGCCTGCGGACTTAGCACGATGTTCACCAAGGGTAGACCCACTATACATCCGGCAAATTGCCGTCTCTTCTTACATACTTCAATTCTTTTAATTGCTCTGTCTAACTGTTTGTTTGCTCCTTGTAGAAGAAGCACTGAAAATGGTGGACCCAGAGTAGACTCCGACTAAGTCTGCTGCGCTGCTGCGCAAGGAACAGCTGCAAGCCAAGAAGGCAGCAGTCGAGGCCAAGGAGGCCAAGAAGGGCAGGGTAAGACCACCTGCTATTTTTACTTTTGATTTTTCTCCAACATTTTGCCGTTTTGTAATCTTATTGACTCATTTCTCTACAGAGTGCTGGCAAAACTATGCCCCGCTCAATCTTAAAACTGATAAGAGACCGGGTGAGGAGTTGGAAAAGACTCCCCTGCTAAGGCTGCCAAGAAAAACCCTTCCCAGACAACCTCTTCTGCCAACTCGGATCATCCTACGACCGGGGGCAAAACTCCTGCTGCTATGAAGACTCTGAGTGAAAACTCAGAGCGCTCAAAAAATGTGCCGGATGCCTCTGGCATCGAAGGGTGGCCAACCACCCAATGTTGCAGGTGGTGCGGCAATGACTGGGGAGGGTGATGCCCAAAAACCCCAGACTCAACCCCAGACCAAAGGTAAGGATCGAAATGAACTTCCTTGGCCGCTTGACTTTATTCGAGTCAAGACTAAGGTTGACCCCTCTGGAGGTTCAGTTAGCAGCCGGCAGCAAATGAATGCCAACTATGCTGCATCCCTCTCACCAAGTATTTCTTATGGTGCAGATGTTACCTTTGACGCACCGCATCTGCCTGGGTTTGCCAAGCGGATGGTGAGGACCTTCACCCGATCTGAGAAGAATTATGTGCCTGATCTGTAGGTAGTGGACTTTGACCGGATAATGGGCTAGCTGGTAGAGGTAAGTCGATCTCAACTTAACACTATGCTTTCTATTTTTATTTCGTTAAGTATTGAACTTTCCGACTGACCCCCTCTTTTTTAGGTGATGCTGAGAGTGGATGGGTTACGGGGCCCCTTCCGGCGGAAGCAAGAAGAGGTAAATGATGACAAAAAGTGGGCCACTCAAAATCTCAACTCTACTAAATATGCTAACTATATGTGCGAATTAAAGATTAAAGTAGTAGAGTTGAAACAGGAGGAGCTGATTCGGAACCTGACGGCTGCTAATGATGCTGCCGATAACCGGGCCAATGACCTTGAGCAACAACTGATAAATGCTCAATCTGATCTCAAGGCGTTGGAGGGGGCTGATCAGGAGAATACAAAACTCCGGGCAAACGTTACCTGGTTGGGGGTGGAGCTGGTCAACCTGAGGAACCAGTAGCGGGATGAGCTCGCCAAAGAACAAAGCCGGCTGGTGGAAGAAAATGAGCAAGACAATGAGGCCCGCCTGAAGATTGCTTGGGGTCACCTCTACCTAGACGTAGACTGTGAAGTCTACAAACTTAGGTATGACTGAGCCACAGCGGTGTATGATCCCAAGTGCTGGGAGAGGCAGCTCCGCATCAATTCAAAGCCTGGGTAATTGAGCTAGGATATGAAGTCTCAGATGGTGAAGGGGAGCAAGCTGAAGGCCAAGGGAATCAAGCCCCCCCAGCCCCAAATGGTTGATGCTAATGCTGAGGACCCAACTAATCAATCCCAGGCGACTGATGCAATTGAAGAAGCCCTACCCACTGGTCAGGACCAGCCTGAGTAGCAGCCTCAACAGCTTTGAGCCAGCCACTCGTTCTTCTACGGCAGTATTCCATTTATCTTTCTTTTTAGCCTGCGTGCCAAGTAATGTTGTAGTTTTACCGACTATGGAGTCGGGTCAACAAGTTTTCTCTTCTTTTCACCGGATGTATATCCGGTTAACAATATTATTCGGCCTTAATGCCGATTTTTATTTATGAAGTATTTCGACTTAGTCGGTTT